CACCATCACCACCATCACCACAATCACCACCATCACCATTTGTTCACAAGTTAAATAAAAACACAGGTACAGTCATGAGACATAATGGAAGACTTGTGAAATGCAACAAACTGAACCGTTGACTTTAATTAAATGTATTATCAGAATCAGAATCAGAATACCTTTACTAGTCCCACAGAGGGGACATTTACATTGTTACAGCAGAAAAGAGCCAAAGACAGCTTAATGTTAACTAAGAAGAATGCATAAAAATTAAAGATCATTTAATTAAAGTCAACGTTTCAGTTTTGTCAGTCCTATCCGATTGTGGCCGCCCGTTACCTTTATCGTGCTCAATATGATTCTGAAAGACGGCGATTTCACTGTTGAAACATTCAAAATGTCTTCCACGATGTACACTACAAGCATGTTTTTCTCTGCTGTGAGACTCGGACATCTTTGCTCTGTCTCCTCATGTAGCTTGTACTTTGTAGCTTGTACTTTGTAGCTTGTACTTTGTAGCTTGTACTTTGTAGCTTGTACTCTGTAGCTTGTACTCTGTAGCTTGTACTTTGTAGCTTGTTACTTTGTAGCTTGTACTTTTTAGCTTGTTACTTTGTAGCTTGTTACTTTGTAGCTTGTTACTTTGTAGCTTGTACTTTGTAGCTTGTTACTTTGTAGCTTGTTACTTTGTAGCTTGTACTTTGTAGCTTGTTACTTTGTAGCTTGTACTTTGTAGCTTGTTACTTTGTAGCTTGTTACTTTGTAGCTTGTACTTTGTAGCTTGTTACTTTGTAGCTTGTACTTTGTAGCTTGTACTTTGTAGGATGTTACTTTGTAGCTTGTACTTTGTAGCTTGTACTTTCTGGCTTGTACTTTGTAGCTTGTACTTTGTAGCTTGTACTTTGTAGCTTGTACTTTGTAGGATGTTACTTTGTAGCTTGTACTTTGTAGGATGTTACTTTGTAGCTTGTACTTTGTAGCTTGTACTTTGTAGCTTGTTACTTTGTAGCTTGTTACTTTGTAGCTTGTACTTTGTAGGATGTTACTTTGTAGCTTGTACTTTGTAGCTTGTACTCTGTAGCTTGTACTCTGTAGCTTGTACTTTGTAGGTTGTTACTTTGTAGCTTGTACTTTGTAGCTTGTACTTTGTAGCATGTTACTTTGTAGCTTGTACTTTGTAGCTTGTACTTTGTAGCTTGTACTTTGTAGCTTGTACTTTGTAGCTTGTACTTTGTAGCTTGTACTTTTTAGCTTGTACTTTATAGCTTGTACTTTGTAGCTTGTACTTTGTAGCTTGTACTTTTTAGATTGTACTTTTTAGCTTGTACTTTGTAGCTTGTACTTTTTAGATTGTACTTTTTAGATTGTACTTTGTAGTTTGTACTTTGTAGCGTGTTACCTCCAAACCTTGAAATGGGACACCCCAATAAGCTATAGGAAGCTTGAGAACGGGGATCAGACAACAACAACTATTAAAGCCCCCCCCCCCTTTCCAAAAAACCTCCTGGACCAATACAAAAAAACAAAAAACATGCACCTTCTTCACACAATGATGGATTTCCACATTTCGTAGCAGCTGATGGTTAAAGGGGGGAGGGGATGTGTGAGAAAAAGAGGGATCAGCTGATTGATCAAACTGATTGTGGAGGAGAGAGGAGAAGGAACGTTTATTTATACAGAACCTTCCAACGCAAGGCAAGTCAAAGTGCTTGACACAAATGAAGAGCATTATGAAATAGTGCAGAGGAAACACATTATAAAATTACCTTTAAAAACAGTCATTAAAAAGCAAAGATAAGATAAGATTTACTTTATTGATCCCAACTTGGAAATGTTTACGTCACAGCAGCATGTTAAAACAAGGCATTGCACATAATGTG